AAAGAACTGAGAATGGGTGACGCAAATTTCGCGAAGGCTTGCATTCCGATCTTTGATGGAGACTATGATCACTGGAGTCTCTTGATGGAGAACTTGTTGTGTTCCAAGGAGTATTGGAAGGTAGTGAATGAGTGCTTCACAGAACCAGCCGCAGATACAACATCAACCGCAGAACAAAGTAAAGCTTTGGAGGAAATGAGGTTAAAAGATTTTAAGGCTAAGAATTATCTATTTAGTAGCATAGATAAAACTGTCCTTAAGACAATTACAAAGAAGGGAACAGCCAAGGAACTTTGGGAATCCATGAAAACCAAATTCCGAGGCAGCGCCAGGGTTAAGAGAGCTTAACTTCAAGCTTTAAGGAGAGAGTTTGAGGTGTTGGAGATGAAGGAAGGAGAAACGATTAACGATTACTTTGGCAGAGTCATAATTGTTTCTAATTCCATGAGAAATTGCGGAGAATTGGTTGAAGAGGTGAAGATTGTTGAGAAAATACTTAGGACTCTAACGGACAAGTTTAATTATGTGGTGTGTTCGATAGAAGAGTCTAAGGATTTGGATGAATTAACCATTGATGAACTGCAAAGTTCTTTGTTGGTGCACGAACAGAAGGTGGTTAGGAAAACGATCACAGATGATCAAGCTCTAAGGGTTGGAGTTGAGTATAGTAGAGGAAGAAGCAGAGGTCGTGGTAATTATCAGGGAAGAGGTAGAGGACGCAATAGTTCAAGAAGCAAGGAAATGATTGAATGCTTTCATTGCCACAAATTAGGCCATTATAGGAACGAGTGTCCAGAGTGGTCCCATCAGGCGCATTACACAAGTGAGTTCAGTGAAGAAATATTGTTGATGGCTATGGAGAACGGTGAGCAACATGAGGCTCTGTGGTTCTTAGACTCGGGTTGTAGCAACCATATGACGAGCAGAAAATGTTGATTTACACACCTCGATGCATCTTTTGCCTGCAATGTCAAGTTAGGCAATGGCATGAAGTTGGAGGTTCTTGGCAAAGGGAGCATAAAGGTGAAAATTGATGGTACTGTTGCTGTTATCCAAGATGTTTACTATGTTCTGGGACTGCAGAATAATCTATTCAGCATAGGGCAGATGCAGGAGAAGGCTCTAATATTTCTGATCAAGCAGGCAACTTACAAGGTGTTCCATGAGAAGAAAGGCTTGTTGTTTGAGACATCGATGAAGGCAAACAGAATGTTTGTGCTTCAAGCCATATCGTTAGGCAGTAAAGAAGCTGAACATGGGCAATGCTTGATGGTTTCAAAATATGAAAAGGAGAATCTCGAGCTCTGGCACAGGCGTTTTGGACATTTGAATTACCAAGGCCCTAGAAAGCTTCAGCAGAAATCAATGGTTCAAGGCTTGCCGCAGTTGAAACAAAGTATCACCCCTGATGTATGCTCAATCTGTCTTATGGGGAAGCAACATAGAAAATCGTTTGCACAAAAGAGCTCGTGGCAGGCTACAGGGAGGTTACAGCTGATTCACGCAGACTTGTGCGGTCCTATCACACCCGACTCTAACGGCGGTAAGAAGTACCTTTTTACCTTGATAGATGACTACAGCAGGAAATTACGGACTCATTTCCTTGTAGCAAAATCTGAGGCCTTCGAGGTGTTTCAGAAATTCAAGGTGTTTATCGAGAAGGAGTCAGGAACAAAGATAGCTTGCTTAAGAACTGATAGGGGAGGCGAATTTCTGTCTACAGAATTCAAAGAGTTTTGTGACAAGGCTGGCATCAAAAGGCAATTGACGGCGGCTTTCACTCCACAACAGAACGGGGTAGCTGAACAGAGAAACCGAACCATTATGAATATGGTTAGGTGTATGTTGAAGGAAAGCCAAGTGCCAAGCAAAATGTGGCCGGAAGCTGTAGCTTGGGCTACTCACATTTTGAACAGATGTCCAACTTCGATCAATCCAGAAAAAACTCCTCAAGAACTTTGGAGTGGTTTACCACCATCAGTGGATCATCTCAAAGTTTTTGGAAGCCTATGTTATGCTCATGTGGCCGACCAACAACGCAAGAAATTGGATGATAAAAGTGTTAAGTGTATTTTCCTAGGTGTGTCACAAGAATCTAAAGCTTACAGATTGTATAATCTTCAAACTAAGAAAATTATGGTGAGCAGGGGTGTTATTTTTGATGAGTCCAAAGGATGGCAAGACATCAATGAGAGTTTAGCTGAGTGTACTTAGCTCAGATGGGAAGGCAGTGAAGATGAATTCTGGGAATCTGAGGATGAAGCAGAATCTGTCCAAAATGACGACCAGGACACAATAATAGCAGCAGCGGGCCAGAACTCTGTAGCTGCAGCAGCTGACGGCAATGAACTGACCTCATCTGAGAGCACGACGCAGATTGAAATAGAAGAGGAAGAGGAGGATGCTGTTGAAAGCCTCCCACAGGCTGAACTAAGGCCAAGAATTAGAAGTAGGCCGGTATGGCATGATGATTATGTAATGGGAAACTTCTGTGAGCAGCTTGCACTATCCGTAGATAGGGCTGATCCAAGCAGTTATAAGGAAGCTAAACAAGAGGAGAAGTGGAGAAAAAGCCATGGCGGCTGAAATGGAAGCAATCAACAGAAATGATACATGGGAGTTGGTTTGCTTACCATTACAAGCTAGTCCAATTGGAGTGAAGTGGGTTTATAAAACCAAACTCAATGAGCATGGCAAAGTGGAGAAGTATAAAGCTCGACTTGTGGTGAAGGGTTATGCTCAAAAACACGGTATAGATTATAATGAAGTTTTCGCGCCGGTAGCCAAGTGGGATACGATCAAATCACTATTGGCTCTTGCTGGACACCATGGATGGGAAATTCATCAGCTTGATGTGAAAAACGCCTTCCTTCATGGGGAGCTCTCCGAGGAAGTATTTGTTGTGCAACTTCCTGGTTTCATGGTTAAAGGAGAGGAACATAAAGTGTATAGGCTCAAGAAAGCTCTATATGGTTTGAAGCAAGCGCCAAGAGCTTGGTTTAGCAAAATAGAAAACTATTTCTTGAGTGAAGGCTTCACCAAGTGCCCATATGAACATACTTTGTTCATCTATGCTCATGAATCTGATGTACTCCTTGTGAGTCTGTATGTGGACAATATCATGCTCACAAGTAGCAGTGAGAAACTTGTGAAGGAATTTAAGGCATCAATGCAGTCTAAGTTTGAAATGACCGACTTAGGCCAAATGATGTATTTTTTGGGTGTAGAAGTCAACCAAAGTGATCAAGGGGTTTTCATCTGTCAAAGGAAGTACACGAATGGACTTCTCGACAAGTTTGGAATGTTGGACAGTAATCCGGTGAGAAATCCTATTGTGCCAAGGACAAAACTAAGTATTGAGGGAGATGGATTGCTTGTGGATGAAACACAATACAAATAGCTGATAGGAAGTTTATTATTCCTCACTGTGACCAGACCGAACATCATGTTTGTGGTGTGTCTTCTAAGCAGGTATATGACGAAACCTACGAAGCTACACATGATGGCTGCAAAACGTGTGCTAAGATATTTAAAGGGAACTGCAGAGTTCGGTATAAAGTACCACAGAAAGGGACAGGGGAAGCGCCTAATAGGATACACTAACAGCGACTTTGCCGGGGATACGGATGATAGGAAGAGTATCGGCGACTATGTGTTCTTCTTGGCGGGAGGAGCAATCTCATGGGTGTCCAAGAAGCAACCGATCGTGACTTTATCAACAACCGAAGCTGAATTTGTTGCAGCTGCTTCATGTGCAGCACAATGTATATGGCTGAAACGAATTCTTGAGCAGATGGGGTGGACCGAAAGTGTTGTAGGAGCAACCACTGTGTTCTGTGACAACAACTCTACCATTAAACTGTCAAAAAATCCCGTGCTACATGGACGGAGCAAGCATATCGATGTTCGTTTCCATTTTCTTAGGGATTTGGTCAGAAATGGAGTTGTAGAGCTCGAGTACTGTGGTACCAAGGTGCAGATAGCGGACATTATGACCAAGGCCGTGGGGTTTGAAATGTTTGAACGACTAAGAGCACATATTGGAGTCATGAAGAATGAGAAGACCTTGGATGCTTCTGGTGTTTAAATTCAACTTAAATATGTTGAGTTTAGGGGAGAATTTGTTAGGTTTATATTTATTTATTTATAATTTATGTTGAGTCAGTCCTATTTTTAAGTCTTTGTTTTACGGTCAGTTAGTGCATTTGGCAAGTCAAGGTTGTTAGCATGCTAGTAGCAGTGAGGACCAAGTATTTAGGAGGCAATTATTTTGTAACTGGTATAGTATATATTGCTACGTCTGAATTAATAATAAACACAATTTTTGAGCTTGGCATTTCGTTTGTTAATTTTGACCGAAAGATGGAGGGTTAGAAGTTGAATGTCATAATACTATTTTCAAATTTATATTTATTATTTAATGTTATAGTATTTGACGTTATTTTATATTATTGTTAATGTAATTTTTTTTAATATCTTTCATTTAAGTATCAATTATATCTATTTCAAAAAACTTAGACCATGTTTACTATAAATATTTACTGCTTTTAATTTCTTTAAATACACTTAAATAATAGTGACGATAATTTTTTGTTGCCTATGGATATTATAAAAATCTGACATATATTTAAAGTACATAAAATATTATAAGAAAATTTATGAAACAATTAATATTTTATTAGTGAAACTATTACATTTTTACAATAATACATATACAATATTCATATTAATTATTTAGCCAAGCATTACACTTGAAAAAAGTATTAATAATTTAAATTAGTATTCAACATACTGACTAGTTAGGTTCTAGATTGAAGAAGTTTTTTAGTTTGGACCCAGTTTCGTAGAAACATCACAAAGTGGAAATTATGGTGCTTTGAATTAAACTTGAAAGTGAAAGACGAGTTGAATGAATCAACTCATTATTTATCTTTATATCACCAAAACCAATCCTATTATTCAGACTTCATACACTATTACTTGTTTGCTCATGCGCAACAATGATACCTCTGCTTCATCATTTTTCTTCCATTATTGTTTTATTTTTCTCCTTCACATTTTTGATGATCTTCGTCATAAATATTCCAACGTGTCTATGCGAGGATGATGAGTACATGAACTGTAACACAGCTTTTTCCTGTGAAAACAATACGAAAGACCTCAAGTATCCGTTCTGGGGAGGAAATAGAGAAAGTTATTGTGGTGGTGTTGCTGATGGTATTAATACGGAGCTTACATGCGAAGATAAATTTTCAAAGTTCACAATTAATAGTGTTAAGTATCGTATTCTTGAGTGGGAGAATACAACACAGAAACTCACTGTCGCTAGGGACGATTACTCGAGTCGTAATGTTTGTGACGTGAATACTAATATCGAGAGCAGCACATTTGATAACACTCAATTTGAACGTTACAGTAATGATGTTGCTAACGTGACGCTCCTGTACGGTTGTGATGTTGCAACTGGAAATTTAGCAAATCCCTTTTATGATATTGACTGCGGCCAAAGTAAATATGTTGTCTTCACTGTTGCTTATTCTGCTTCGTTCTCTGCCTTCTGCACTCCGACTCGTAAGGTCGTGATTCCGATTCTGGGAAACCTAGCTACGCAACTGGGATCTGGAATTGGAATAGTCGGTGATATATTACAAGATTCATTACAAAAAGGTTTTGATTTGAAATGGACTGGAAATTATTCGGAGTGCCAGAGGTGTGTAGCTTCTGGTGGAGCGTGTGGAAATGGAGATACTCAATTCAGATGTTTCTGCGATGTTGGAGCTCACGCAACTTCATGCGATTCACCAGTGCTCCCGACCTCAGGTATGTCTATAATATCACTTTCTCCGTTCTTTTTTTCCTTATTTGAAAGCTCAATGTTTTAAATCGATTTGTAGAGCTCATAGAGTAAACTTAAAGATCATGCACGTTTTATTTATTTTACCTACCAACAAAGTTCTTGCATATAGTCGAATTTAAATTTAGGTCTTTGCGAAATATGAGCTAAATTATTTACAACTAAATCAATTTAGTTGGCTTTCTTTAGCACCTATCTTAGTTTTTTTGTTTCTACCACTAGTAAACAAATCTTAGACTGCAAATTTATTTTAAGAAACACAGTAGTATAGTATTACGATATTAATTTAGAACCCCATGAAATCTTAAACCATAGTTTATATATTTTAGGTTTGGCACGGACAAAATATAAACAAATGCGTCACTTGCACAAATTCAGATATTAAATTAAAAATAATTCAATTGCTGCTAATTCTTCACGGAGTTGTTTCTGCAATGATGGAACTCATGCAACTTCATGCCATTCCCCAGTGGTCTCATCCTCAAGTATGTCTATAACATCACTTTTATCTCCAACTCCTATTTATTTTTCTTTCTACATTAATGATAGAAAATATTAGTTTCCAATATAAATAGATCAATGCTTTGAAAATATATTGGCCTTAATTAAGATCTTGAAACTTCAATGCATCTAATTTCAAATATTGTTCATCTGTCAACATCACTTCAATAGCTTGTTCTGCTACAACTGATCCAACAACATGTCACCATTTATATAAATCAGGATGTTTTCTCTTCATTGCTGCTGCAAAATACAAAGCAATTAATTAGTACATAAATGACCATCAATTTCTCTTCAACAGACAATGTATGATTATTATAACTTCTGTCTAATTTGATTTTTTATTTTTAACTTAGGTTCAAAAGGTAACTGGAGGCCTATTGTGATAGGTAAGAACAATAAACAATATCACATTTTATGACATAGCGTTTCTCATCCCACATTATAGTGGCAAGAATTTTTCTTTTAAAAAAAATGCCTGAAAATACTTTTTTTTATCTTTGATAAATTCAGGTGCTGCAGGATTTGGAGTAATAGTATTCTTTATAATTATTATGATTATATGTTACCTTAAAAGGGGTACAGGTAGACAACAAAAGACTATTTTCCGGGAAAAAAGAAAGCTTGTTGAGCACAATGTGGACAAGCCTGTTGAGCACAATGTGGACGTTTTTATGCAAAATTATAATTTATACAACCCAAGAAGATATAGCTATGCAGAAGTAAAATGGATCACAAGCTCATTTAGAGAAAAATTAGGCCAAGGAGGATATGGTGTTGTGTACAAAGCAAGTTTAATTGATGGTCGTCAAGTGGCAGTGAAAGTAATAAACGAATCAAAGGGAAATGGAGAAGAGTTCATAAACGAAGTTGCTAGCATTAGTAGAACATCACACTTGAACATTGTGTCACTTTTAGGTTTTTGTTATGAAGGGAATAAAAGAGCACTAATATATGAATTCATGTCCAACGGATCATTGGATAGGTTCATCTATAAAAGTGAATTTCCTAATGCTATTTGTGATTTTGATTGGAACACTTTGTTCCAAATTGCAATAGGCATTGCTAGAGGACTAGATTACTTGCATCAAGGATGCAATTCAAGGATTTTACATCTTGATATCAAACCCCAAAACGTTCTTTTGGATGAAGATTTTTGTCCAAAAATATCTGATTTTGGTTTAGCTAAAATATGTCAAAGGAAGGATAGTATCGTGTCAATACTAGGAGTAAGAGGAACTATAGGATATATGGCACCTGAAATATTTAGTAGAGCATTTGGTGGAGTTTCTTACAAGTCTGATGTATACAGTTATGGGATGTTGATTCTTGAAATGATTGGAGGAAGAAAGAATTATGATACTGGAGGCTCGTGTACTTCTGAAATGTACTTTCCTGATTGGATTTATAAAGATCTTGAGCAAGGTAATACCAGCAATACTCTTCTAAATGGTTTGACAATCTCGGAGGAAGAAAATGATATGGTTAAAAAGATTACTTTGGTGAGTTTATGGTGCATTCAAACGAATCCATCAGACAGACCACCGATGAATAAAGTAATAGAAATGCTACAAGGATCACTTTCTTTAGTGCCATATCCTCCAAAGCCGGTCTTGTTTTCTCCGGAAAGGCCAGCACTACCCGTAGAATGTATATCCTCATCCGATTTCAATGAAACAAGTTCAATTACAGTATCAAAATAATTGTTCTATCAATGAATCAAATAATTAGCAGCAAGACTGCCAAAATGGAACTGTTAGCTTGTGTAACTGTTTCTGGCAGTTTTGGTATTAATTAGTTGAAACTCATAATCAATTTCATATAATTGTAGTGATTGGAATGGCTAAACTACAAATAGTTTTTTTATTTGTATTCATATACAAATCTTTTTATTTCTTTTGTGAATTCAAGTCATGCATCATACTTGTCAAAAAGACATAATTCAAAAAAACTCAGACGAAAATACTTACATAATAATGTTTCATGAGCATTGTACTTCAAGGGTAATTGCAATAGTGGCAGCATTCGATGCAATGCAAACTTAAAACAACTGATGTTTTTCCCAGCATCTAATTTCTGAAACAGCATTAACATAAAAACACCAAATCATATATTATAAAATATTTAAACCAGCTCTAAACACCAAACTCTAAAATCAATCCCTCTATGTTTGGATATATTATATATTAAAGTATAAGAGAGTGAGAGGCATTTGAATAAACCGTGTTTTTAAAAAACATTACAGAGATTGTATTATATATATAAAGAGATTACAGCTAATTACATGTTATTGTCGATGTGACAATTTTATATATAGATATTCTTAACACTTCCCCTCAAGCTGAATCATATATGTCATGAGTCGAACTTGTTATACGTGTAATTTGGTCGAGAACTTCTAAGAGACTTTGTAAACATATAAGCTAATTGGTCTTCGAATTTTATGAAATTTGTGATGATTTCTCCTGATAGTGTCTTGTCCCTTACATAATGATAGACTATTTTTATGTGTTTGGTCCGTTCATGGAAAAACGGATTAGATGTAATGTGGAGTGTTGTTTGATTATCACATATGAGTTTTGTGTTATGAAGATCTCTTATTCTAATCTCTGAGAGTAAATTTTTCAGTCATGCAAGCAAGCTCCTTTGAGGCTGCTGCCGTAGCACGATATTCAGCTTCAACATTAGATAGTACAATTGTATTTTGTTTCTTACTTCTGTATAAGATCATATTACCTTCAATCCGACCACAATATTTGTACGTGGATCTCCTATCCGACGGTGATCCAGCCAAGTCTGCATATGAATAACAAATGGTTTTAGCATCACCCTTATTTTCATATAATAGTACTCTTCATGACACATTCTTTATATATCTAAGAATTTGAATGACTGCATACCAGTGACTATCTCAATGAGCGTTCAGAAACTGACTCACAATGCTTACCGCAAATGTAGTATCTGGTATAGAAAAGTCCTCAGCCAATGAGAAAAGTCATTCTGAAACAAGTGATAACGAGAATTCGGATGATGAAGATATGAGACTTTTTGTAAAAAGATTCAACAAGTACATCAAAATAAATGGTGTAAAGTTCTTCGAGAAAAACCTCATCAAATATATAAGACAATCAAACTCATCAAAGGAAGATGATGACAAGAAAGGAAGATTAAGATGTTCATGTTACAAGTGTGGTAAAACCGATCATTACAAGGCGGAGTGTCTATTGATAGAGAAATACAAAGAGAAAATCCATCTCAAGAAATCTAGAAAGTCTAGACAAACTTATATTGCATGGGAAAACGATATCGATTCCTCAAGTGATGAAAGGTCAAGTGATGAGGAAGAATCGGCAAATATTTGTCTCTCGACTTATAATCGTGAAAAGAAGAAAAAGAATGTAAGCCATTATAAATATGAACATGTTGATAAGTTGTCTTATTCTGAGGTATAAAAAGGTTTTGAAAATCTACTTAGAGAAGCCATAGACGTTTTTAAAAAATTATCTTTAAACAAGAGAATCTTTGCACATTTAGAGGCTAAAGCTTTGGAAACCGAAAAGAATATGGAAGCTCTTAAGCAATCCATGGTAGATAGATGAGGATGATGAAGCTTCATGGTTCAGTTATGAAACTTATCACATTTGGTAAAAAGAGACAAATACTCTTAAAGGTAAATTAGACAAGGCATTACAATCAAAGGTCACTTTTACTATTGATACTACTAATTATAATATGCCTTCTCATAATACTTATAAAAGTTAAATTGATCAAAATAACAAAGGTTACTCTTCTCACCATTTAACTTATCACTTTTGTTGCAAGAAGGGTCATGCCATTGCAAAATGCAAGTTTAGGAAATTTCTTATGCTTAAAGGTGTTTTTCAATGGTTTCCTAAGTGCAGCCAAGGTTTCACTTGTAACACCCCCTTTCTATACTCCCAAATAATCACATAAACAATTAGCCACATATTAAAAATTTCATCAGAGTATAATTAATAACATGGTATAAAAGAGGTATGTCACATTATACGTGAAATTAAAACATACAACACCTGCTCAACAAAAGAAATGCAACAGTGGAGTAACTTTGCAACAGAAGAACTTAGTCCTTACACCCACATCTCAATATTTAGAATAAAAGCGAAACATCTAAACATTGAATAACATCAAAAAAAAAAAATATATATATATATATATATATATATATATATATATATATATATATATATATATATATATATATATATATATATATATATATATATATATATATATATATATATATATATCATCCAATATGATTCAACAACATCAGACATGTTTTCATAAACATCCAACAACAAGATACATATACAAATGTATCACAAAAGAATCATAAACATCCTAGCTACCCGGTGCTACATATTAGAGCCGACCGACCAAAAGAATGAAGACACGCTTCACAAAAAGACCTCCAGCAAACCTACTATGCAATGCCTTATAGAGCACCATAAAACAGCAGAAGGGTGAGAAATATTATCATAATAACAATGCATATAATTATATATCAGCATAAATTACACATATTCTGCATTCTCACCACAGTTCATCACAACTCACTCCTATACATCACAATGTATATATATATATATATATATATATATATATATATATATATATATATATATATATATATATATATATATATATATATATATATATATATATATATATATATATATATATATATATATATATATATATATATATATATATATATATATATATATATATATATATATATATATATATATATATATATATATATATATATAACCAAGCATATACATCATTCATGCTTTCACAATTCTTATCATTCCATATAAACACTCAAATTTATGTTTATTCACCAATTCACAATTATAAAGATGATAAATGCAAATCATAGAGACCGACTCATAACTCTATGCAAATGCAATGTGGTACCGACTCAATCATCTCAAGTTCACTCAGGAACTTATTGGAACCATCGCTCGTTACCAAAGTAAATCCCGTCGGGCCTACAATGTTCACCCATTGCTCACACCCTACTTGGGCACACAATGTTTATGGATTGCTAACACCTCACATAGGCACACCATCCGATTGCTCACACCTCACATAGGCACACAATCATTTGTAATCATCGCTCACACCTCACATAGGCACACGATGATCACCCAACACAAGAATGCACATCATGATGCTTCACATGCAAAATGACTCATTACACTCTTGAAATGCATACATATTCAAAGTATATATTCATGCATTCATCCCATACTATCACATACAATCCATGTACATTCACATCAATCACGCCACACGACAACGAGCATCGCTTTACCACCTAAACGACAACGAACTCTATCACATTTATCATGCATTTCCATTTAATTTAAGCAATGCATATATTTGCCAAAAGGCCACAATTCACAATACATTCCACAATCTAGGATTCACGCCATACGGCTATCCACAACATATCATATAACAACACACAAGCTACATGTTGAAGAATCAAAGAATCGATATTGGATTGATATAAAAATAAAATATCGTATTGTCACACTCACTATACTGCTCGCTTAGCGAAGTCATAGTGAACACTCGTTACTGGCTTGCCTAGCGAACATGCTAGCGAAGGCTTTCATTATACTACTGGAAGTGTTCGCTACTTACTCGTTGGTGCCTAGCCTAGCGAGCACTTCGCTACTTCCCTCTCCATAGCGAATAAGGGTCTTTTTGGTTCTGTCCAAGTCTGGGAGTGTTCGCTACTGGTTCACTAGGTGCTCGCCTAGCGAACACTTCGCTAGCTCACTCATCAGCGACTCGCCTAGCGAATACTGAGATACTCAAACCCTCTCTTCTCCAAAAATGTCAAAAAGTCACAAAATCACCCGATTCCCAACAAACAGGTTTCAATAGTCTCGGTCTAACAATCCTCGACTAAACTACACAATTTATTCCAAATTCTAACCGTGAAAACATCAGTTTCTATCGATTTAACCAAATTCGACCTAAAATGGAAAATGTGGAAAAACTCACAAACAATCCAACCACACACATACATAACGATATACATTGATAAGATAATAAGATTTCAGACCCTTACCTGATTAAATCGATTCCTAGAAGTTGCTTTGAAGCTTTCTAAGCTTTTCCTCTTTTTCTCTTCTTCCTCTTTCTTTCTCTCCTTTTTCTTCTTTCTCTTTTCTTTCCTTTTCTCTCCACTTTTTCTTATATATCTTTCTATTCTAATCCTTTTTATTCATTTTCTCTCAAAATATCTAATAATTCATCTTCTCACAAAATATCCACTCTTAACATTAATTAAGAAATATCTAAAATACCCTCCAACCTAATTTCCCCGAAAACTCTCAAAAACGATAAAATAATCCAATATGCAAACATAACATATTAACACACCAATTCCACAAACAAAATAATAATCACCCAAATAAAATAAAAGACTCAACAAAAATGGGAAATAAGAATTGGGGCGTTACAACTCTCCCCCACTTTAGAAATTTTTGTCCTCGAAAATCTTACCTGATTCAAACAACTCCGGATACGACTCTCGCATCCCACTCTCTAATTCCCAAGTCATATTGCCTTCCAAAACGCCTCCCCACGCTACTTTCACAAGCGCAATATCCTTGCCTCTTAGCTTCTTAACTTCACG